GGGCACAGGTATCTGATTCTCTCTAACTCCACCTCTAGGAACCATTGAAATGAAACCAACACTGGAGGCCCAGGGCAGTACTATATGCCTGAAATACTGAATGTCAAGAAATTCCAACTGCATACTAGATATCCACACTGAAAGGAACCAGAACTTGAAAACAATAGCTGTTTCAGGTTCTAGTCAAGAAGTGTACATGATGAACCTGGGATGTCTTGTCATGAAAAATAACAGATAAGCTATTAAAAGCGATTGAGGTTGTGTGAAAGAAAAGACTTAGGAGCCAATTTAAAGAGATTGGCATTGGCTAAAGTTAGAATATCTTGAGTGTTAAACACCAGTAACTACAGTAAATTGAAATCCATCAAATATGGTAAAACTCTGAGCTTATAAAAACTTATAAAAACTCTGAGTTGTTTTTAAAGGTTCTTGGTTCATTTTTAGATGTTATGAAGAAACCAATTCATTATTTTGACAATTGCTAAATAAAAAAATCTGTAATTACTTTCTTGTACAACTACTTTTCAGGCTAAGCAAGTAGTTGGTAAGGGCAAGGTTTTTTTCTGAAGTGTTTCAACTAATACAGAAGGACTGATAAGGTTAATAGGTGAATTGCTAATGGAGTATTTTTTTAATGGCTGTTTTAGGCTGGCAAGACATGAATACACAGATTAACTTAGTATCACAGAGAAAGTTCCACATTGTATACATCCTAGATAAATTTCATACCTACTTTTATCAAGCCTCTGATCTAGCTGATTTATAGGAAAATTCTCCAAACATTCCAAAAACAAAAACAATACAAGGTAAAACATAGACTTTTAGTGGATTTATTTTGTTGACAGCTTCAGGCATGTATGTAATACATTCTGATTACTCTCTATGCAGCCTTGCTTTATCTTCTTCCCATCCCTGTCACCCCCATTACCAGATTCATGGTGTTTTGTTTTTATGACCCATTAGTTAAGTCAAGGCAGTCTGTGATTATTAGATTGGAACTATAATTGGTGCCTGGTGGAGTCTTCAGTGCATTCATAACTGAAGGTAGAATTAGGCCTCTCCATGAATCTATCAGTAGCAAATAGCCCAGCATTTGAGTAGAAACCCTGGAGTGCCAAAGTTTTTCAACCTTCCTAATGCTGAGACCCTATAATACAGTTCTTCATGTTGTGGTGATCACCGACCATAAAATTATTTTGTTGCTACTTATTAACTGTAATTTTTGTAGCACAAATAAATAAAGGACCCAGAGACTGATACTGGTGTTCAAACTGGAAGCTGAAGATTAGAAAAGCAAAGCAGCCAGTCACTACCTCAGACTGAATGGTCTGATCCTCCTGCTTCTCCTCAACATGGCTGTAGGATCCTGAGACTTCAATGTCTTCCTACCCTCAGTGTGGCTGGAGAATGAATGCTTGATCTGAGACCTTGCTCCTGTCTTAGATACCTCTCATGAGTCCTGGGATTAAAGTTGTATGATCCAAGTGCTGAGATCATCTTTGTGTGAGCTGTTTCTCTTTAGGACTGGATCAATTTCATGTAGCTCAGTGTAGCTTTGAACTAACAGAGATCCATCTACCTCTTAATCCTGAGTCCTGGGATTAAAGGTGTGTAACACCACTTCCTAGTGCTATGTCTCGAAGACAGAGTTTCTGTTCCGCCTGGTCCTGCAGCCGTTTGGATCCAAGTAGACACACAGGGGCTTATATTAATTATAAAGTGTTTGGCCGATGGCTCAGGCTTCTTATTGGCTAGCTCTCTCTTAATCATTAACCCATAACTATTAATTTATGTATTTCCACATGGCCTTATCTTACCGAAGAATTCCCGTACATCCTATCTTATTGGTAGCTACATGGCATCTCTTTTTGGTGGCTTTTCTCTGCGTCCTCTCCCCAGCATTTTCCTTGTCTGGTAGCCCCACTTATACATCCTGCCTGGCCAATCAGTGTTTTATTCATCAATCAATAAGAGAAACATACATTAACAGCATACAGAAGGATACCCCCCATCAATGGCTGCTGGGATTAAAGGTGTGTATCACCATTGCCTGACCTCTATAGCTTGTGGCTGACTTTGCTTTCTGAATCCTCAGGCAAGCTGTAATAAATCATAAATAATATATCACCACAAATTTTGCTACTGTTATGAATCATAATGTAAATATCTGATATGCAGGATATCTGATATGTGACTCCTATGGGTTGAGAACAGCTGATGTCTTATTGCTACTAGGCCCATTCTTGTGCATTCATCTGCGCTGCTCTGAGTTCATGGTTGTAATGGCTATGTCTTGTTAGAAGATAACATTTATAGCTTTTCTATCTTCTGGCTCTTACATCCTTTGCACTCCTCTTCCACAGTGCTTCCTGAATCTTAGAGGTATTCAAAAATGAGTGAACACTCATCTATATTTATCAGTGCCATATACAGCCATGAGTCTATGTTCACTAACATTCCCTGGAAAAAGTCTTGTCAGATTAGGGCCAAGAGTAGCAGTTTTCTGTGGGTATACACATCAGTGTTGAGAATTGACACAATGTCAGTTGAGCTGATCATCAGTTTAGCGGATCAAACAATGTTCAGCTTACCCATTAGGGCCTGTGATCTCCCCCACCATGGGTTTTTAACCAGGTGTATGATACCAGAGGTGGATTCCTTCCTGTGGGCTAGGTCTCAAATCTAATAGGGAACAGTTGGTTACTTTCCTAACAGTACATCTTGCCTGGAAGGTTAGTCTTGTAGATCATAGGAGTCACAGTTAGGTAAGTTCATTAGTGCCTTTTCTCCCCTGGCAACCTACATAGCACCATTGGAGATTATGAAAGCTATCTGTCAGGAAGGAAGCTTCCAGCTTAGTTCCAGCTTGTTTTCTCCATATCAACAAAAGCATGTATTCTTATAAGAGTTTACTTCATGGAAATTTTGGAAAGCATTTTTTTATGCTTGCAGGTTTGGAAAATTGTGGAGATTATCAATGTTGAAAATGAATTCACAAGGAGGCAGTAGGGTTGGGATGAAAAAAAGAGTACTAGCTAATAGGAAGACATAAATTGAAAGGGTGTAGATAAAATAAGGACAACGGGATGGAAACTTTTAAAAAAAGCATTAAAATAAGAAATAGAGTAGAAATTGAATTATGCAGTAGCCAAATTAAGCTACACCAGAATAGAGAACACATTAGAAAATTGAATTCATGATATAGAATACAAATTTGAGAAGCTGTCCCAAAATACAAATGAAAAGAAAGATGTAAAAGATTTGAAGAAAGTAAAGAATAAAGAGATCTAAAACATAGAATTTCTATTCTAGAAGAGACCAGAGAAAGTTGAATAGAGATCCATTTATTATTAAACACTGTAAGGAAAAAGATGAAGGATTACCTGATTATAATTCAAACAGGCTTATTCTCAAACACCTGGGACATTTAATAATGAGACAGACAAGCCTATTGTGGTGAAAATGTTTTTTTCCTATATTAAAATCATCATCATAAAAGATTAAAAACCCTTATTATGCATCCAGGCAAGATGAGAAACAAGCAAACATACCAAAGCAGAGACTCACCTTAAATCCTTCTTACAGATAAATTGTATTTCTATGTAAATGAACAGTTGGTTTGGGGACGGAATTCAGCCTTTCGTAAAAAGAGCTGGGTGTGATGGACATGCCTTGAATCCTTAATCCCAGCACTCCTGGAGGCAAAGGCAGATAGTCTCTGTGAGTTCAAGGCCTGCTTGGTCCACATGATGAATTCCAGGCCATAAAAAAAAAAAAAAAAGGAAGAAAGACCCGATAATATGCAAGTTTAGTTGACTATCAGGGAATCAATTCAGTTTCTGAAATGCAGTATTTGTGTTTGCTCATAGACATTCCATGATATAATAAGAACATAGACCTCACAGTCTGAGAGCTGATGTTCAGATCCCTTTCTTATACTAGTTATGTGAGCCATCAAATAATCACATCTTCAGTGGCTGCTTAATATCACAAAACTTCAGTTCATCTATAAAATAGGGCAGACAGGAGTCTTGCCCAGACTGGCTTGGAACTCTTGGTTATCTTTAGCCTTCCAAGTGCTACCATTACAGTCTGTACCACCAGAAATGTAATCTTATTTGAAACATTGAGCCACATGTATCAAAGATCATGTTAACTTTGTTACTAAAAAAAATTCAGTGGAGCATAGCTTACTTTTGTCTTATGGCGAGTCAGAGTCATTTTTCTAATGTATTCTTGTTTACATTTTTAGAAGGGTCTTAATCACCCAGATTATTAGATCTTTTTAAAGTTAACCAATTGACTGTATAGTTTAAACCTTTAGTCTATCAAGCAGTAAACAACAGTAACTAAATTGTAAATCTGTTTTAAAGAGTTGGCCAAGATACATTTCAGTATATTCTATTACTTATATTCGTTTCTATTTGGTTTATGGGTTTTCAGATATCCAAATACAGTAAAGAAAACACAGCTGCCTGGCTTAAATACCTGTGTTTTTAATTTGCATTTTAAACAAGTCTCACTTATTTAACAAATCTTTAATCAAGGCCTCCTTTGGACTAGATACAGTCCCAGTCACTGGAAATGCAATAGTGGGTTGGAGATGGGTAGTAATCTAAGTATGTAGTATGTCAGACTGATAAGGAGCTAGAGAATAGTGGGTAAGAATTGATGTTTTACATGGGCTGGTGGTCATTGAGGCCTTTCTAATGAATTGACATCCAAGCAGTGGCTCAATGAAGCAAGGAAGCAGGCCAAGTAGATACTAGGGAAAAAGAGTATCGGGAAGGGGAAATGGCAAGTGCAAATGCAAATCTGATTAAAAACATGCCTGACTTGAGTCAGTTTTCCACTGATTACTTTCTTGAAGTGTTCCTGGTCCCCATAAAAATTAAAAGAGACTAAGGGCTTCTTTCTCTTATTTCAGGGCACATTCTTCCTAACTTTTAGTGCTTGTATCATAGCGTTATTCTGATGATGCCCTTTGATCTGTCCTCTAGGTACATGGCTAGTGCCTTTCTTACCTGCTGCACAGTAACTGGAGACTAAATGCTTAACCGGTCCACTTGAGTATGTATTGATCTATTTCTTCTACTCATTACCTAGGAATGACAAGAAATTTAATTGCTTGATTTTTTTTTTTTTTTATGTTTTGGTTTTGGTTTTTCAAGACAGGGCTTCTCTGTGTAACCCTAGCTGTCCTGGAACTCGCTCTGTAGACCAGACTGGCCTCTCAATTTCAGAGATCCACCTGCCTCTGCCTCTCAAGTGCTGGGATTAAAGGCGTGAACCACCACCCGTCTTTTTCCTTCTTCCCTCCCTCCCTCCTTCCCTTCCTTCCTTCCTTCCTTCCTTCCTCCCTTTTTCTCCCTTCCTCCCTCCTTTCCTTCCTTCTTCCTCCCTTCTGATTTGTTAATAAGAAAGCAGGTCATTAACAGTCATACCTTCATAAACTGCCTGTGATTATCATTTCATGAAGGATTGCATAATCCCAATTTCCTGATGTTTCTCTTCTACATTACTAACTGGCCTTATAGGAAATAGAATACTTTGTTGACTGGGGCTATTGGTTCATTCTGAAGTATAGTTCTCAAAGTTACTGATTTTTGTGCTTTAGAAGATGGCCAAGGTTTTTTTTGTTTTTGTTTTTTTGTTTGTTTGTTTGTTTTGGGGGGGTCTGGATTTCTCCTTTTTGAGTAGTGCTGATACTTGTGAGTTATTAGTGAGTCCAGGTGTTTTAATTAACCAGATGTAATTCTCACAATTTGTTTTGTTTTTTTTTTGAGAAGGAGTTTCTCAGTGTACCCTTGACTGTTCCATCCTAGAACTAGCTCTGTAGACTAGGCTGGCTTGAATTCACACCTGCCTCTGCCTTCCCATGCCACCACCCCTAGTGATTCTCACAATTTTTAACAAATAGGAAAGAGGAACTTTCAGGCTGACCACTGTGTCTTTTAGCTGCCAAATGCTGTATTTTTTAATTGTGGAAATGTTTAAACAATATACAATATGTCTGTTGGTCAGATTTAACTTTTATCAATATAATATAATGTAATACCCTCTTAACTTTTTTCTGATCAGGGTCTTGCTGTGTAGCCCAAGCTAGCCTCAAACTCAAAGTCTTCTTGTTTTAGCCTCTAAAGTGCTGGGGTCTTGAACACTAACCACCATATCCAGCATCTATAGTTTTTTTGACCCTGAATTATGATTCCATTGATTTTTGAAAGTTTATTTGTTGTTTGTTGTGATTCCACACCTAGAATCATCCATTTCTCTAAGAAGCCCCAACCTTTTTTCTTAGTAAGAAATGTTATCAGATATAAGTCTTGGATTAAGGTTATTAAAAGTATATTAAAATACGGTGTTTTGTTTTTTTCCATCATATGCCTTGTCATATAGGTAGTGTTGTTTTATGAACATTTACTCATATTTGGGTAGAGGAGGAAAGACACTCCTCAAAGATATAACAAAGAGCTTTGTATTTCTATGTTTAGTTTTATTATTATTGTGTGTGCCATGATGTTGGGGTTGGAGTGTGATACTGGAGATTAGTGGACAACTGTGGAGTCAGTTCTCACCTTCCATCATTACATGAGTTCTGGGGATTAAACTCAGGTTTGTCAAACCTGTGCAGCCAGAGCTGCCTTGCACACCTAATATCTCTCTTTTCATGGTCAAATTCCAGACATAGCTGATACATTATATAAAAGATAACACATAGGTGTTTCTGTTCACTTTGCCTTTATTACAACTTACGGAAATCTTTAATTTATAAATACATGATTTTTGACAGATTGCTTGTACTGTACTTCATGCTATTTTGTTTTAAATCATTTAATATGTTTTTCTCATAGTAATGATATAAACTACGAAACATTATTACAGTGAATATTTCTAATACAAAAAGAAATCTTAAATGTCTCCCAGATCCAAATTTTTTGAACACTGATTTGATGCCACAAGTGAAAACATCTTGCAACTACTACTTGCACAAAATCATCAAAAGTACTATGTAAAATTTGGAGCTGGAAAGATGGCTCAGCAGTTATAAGCATTACTGCTCTTGCAGAGGACCTGGTTCAGCTTCCTACCACCGACATTGAGCAGATCACAACCACCAGCTGTAGCTCCAGAGGTCTAACACCCTCTTGTCTCTGAGAGTATCTGCACACATGTGGTGCACAAACACACATAGATAAATATATTTTTAAACTACATAAAATTCAAAAGTACTTAAGAATCAAAAAAATACATAAAATTCATTTTCAGGCTTGGTATATGTACAAAATGCAAATGGATTTTGTGGTTAGATTTGAGTCCCATTTCCAAGATATCACATGCATGCAGAAATCCAAAGACCGGAAAAAATCCAACCCCTCTTTTCTCAAGCATTTCAGATATTCAACTTATATTACGTTCCCAGCTTTTAAATTCTGTGTATATTTTCAAGATATCCACAGATCTTTGCTGCCTTTCTTTTTTTATGTTCCACTGAAATAAAATGTCTAGAAACAGGAAATGAAGAGGCTTAAGTGACTAGGAGGACTGCTAAAGGATGACAGTTGAGCACACCTTTGTTTGGGTACCAGAAGGCCCAACTGCGCCTTCTGCTCACCTCTCCAGACTTCACTTCAGTTGTCCCTGTACTTGGACTTCGGGTTACTGGCATTGTTCCCAGGTGAAACAACAGGCAGATTTTTCTATACAGAAATTGTAAATGGCTAAGCTTCCAAAGTCATCTTTGTTCTGATAGTTAGATTTCCTGCAGTTAGATTGCCTGCTGCCTTTCATCTCTCACCTAGAAGAGTACTGCGGTTAGCACCTGCTTGGCCCAAACAGAGCTCTCTGTCTTCAATCCTCTCTGGACCCGAGTTCTGTCTATCCAAAAAGCAGAATATCTTTATAGTTAATAGAGGGAGTCTAATATGAGGTTACCAGGTATGTAGTGGGAAAACTTAATGGTAGAAAAAAGAGAAAATAACCAGGAAAAATGTCAATGGAATAAACAGAAGTAATCACAGAGAATTTTATTTTTAAGAAGGAACTCTGTAGCATGTAGAGAGCCACAAAGACAGTACTTCCATTAAGCCACAGGAGGATACACTGCTGGATTGAAAGGGCACATCTGATACAGAAACAATCAGCCATCATGGCCTCCTTTTAAAACTGTAGAATTCATGAGATGGACAAAAAGCTCCTTAATGAGTCATGTCCACAGTGACAGGTATCAGACTGCATTCAAACCTTACCAGTAACCCGAAACTATATTAAGAAAGTGCAGTATTGCCCTGAACACAATCTGCATCTTGCCAAACAGTTAAGAGTGGGAGCAGAAGATCTGGAGAGATGGCTCAGTGATTATAAGCTCTTCCAGAGGACAATTCCAGCACCTATATCAGGTGGCTCACAACCACCTGTAACTCCAGCAGCAAGTTACCAGACACTTCCGTCCTCTGGGTGCCCACACTCATGTGCACATCCCCACACAAAGACATACACACTTAACATAATTTTTTGAAAAGGTATTGGAATTGATGATTTTAGGCATTCAGTGGCTTAAAGTTTACCTTCTCTTAGAATTGGAAGAAATGAGTGGGTTATATATTCACCATTAACTTCCTTAACTGAAATTTATCATTTAATTTTTCACAAAATATTTTCATTTGGGCATTTGCTCTTTTTATCCTATCTAAAAAGGTATATTGTGGGGGAAAGTGAGAAGAGATTACAAACAAAAAATAATTTTGGAATCACACTGCACATTAAAATTACAGAGCGACTGTGGCAAAATAAATTACGCTTTACATCCTTTACTCTGAGCAATCTCAAGTGTTCCATACATCACACACAGAACTAACACAAAATTTCTCATGTTCCCCAATGATCCCTATATATCATCATAGCTGGCTGGTATGCCATATGGCCAGCAGGGCCACCAGCATCAGTGTCTTCTCCCTTCAGTACTAGAGTGTGATTATCTGGCTTAATTTTTTTTTTTTTCAAGACAGGATTTCTCTGTGTAGCCCTGGCTGTACTGCTCTGTAGATCAGGCTGGCCTTGAACTCTCAGAAATAAATCCGCCTGCCTTTGCCTCCTGAGTGCTGGGATTAAAAGCATACACCACTACTGCCCAGCATGTTGGCTTAAATTTAAAAAGTATTCTGACTGCTGTGTTGAGAACAGACTTGGGGGTGGAGTGCTAGGTGTGGGTAGAAAAAGAGGGGGCAGTTTTGCCAGTGCTGAAGTGCTTCATGTGAAAAGTGACCATGGCTCTGCCACTGTGACAGTATCGAAGTTGGTCAGTTAGATACTGAGCGAGCAACATAGGAATCAGAGTTTTTATTCTGAGTGGTGGAAGGGTGGGTGGGTTGAGGGAGAAGATCAGAATGAAGCTGTGAGCATTAAAGTGCGTATTTGGCTTCCAAGTACTTGGGTTAGCTCTTGGTTCTGGGAGTGGGTAGGAAGAGAGAGAGAGAGAGAGAGAGAGAGAGAGAGAGAGAGAGAGAGAGAGTATTTGTGTGTGTGTATTTGTGTGTGTGTATCTGTAGTTTCAAAGAAAATCTAGCCTTGATAATTTGGGGATGATCATCATGCAAGTTCTTATTAAGGCCTGATGCCTGGGAGAGATCACGGCAGAATGAACAGAGATAAGGAACCATGCAGACTGGGACTGGAAGGCCTGTCAGCATAGCATGTGAGGCAGAGAGGCAGAGAGGCAAGAAGGGAGGCACACTGAGAGGGAACAAGAGACCCAACAGTTGCAAAGATGTTATGTTTTGTTGTTGTTTTCTCAGACAGCTACTAAAAGAGCTAGGATGTAAACACTTAAGTTGTTTGGTCTTAACTACTTTAAAAATAAGGAGCATAGTAAAAAAAAATTCCTGAAGTAACAAAGGAGCACAGAATGAAAATTTGGGCATCTATACTTCAGAGAACTGTGCTGAGCAGTTTGCCTCTTACCTTTGCCTATGCTAGAAAGTTTGGGTCATAGCTTTAAATATGATCAGATTACATGTATTTGATTGTCCTGATATGCACATTGAATAACTATTTTAAGTGAAGCAAACTTACCTAGGAAATGTCAGCAATGACTGCATGATTTTCTTCTTGCCTCCATAGGTATGGTCTGAATATGCGTTGTTTGGCAGCTCGGGTCAATTATAAGACTTTGATTATCATCTGCGCACTATTCACTTTGGTCACAGTACTTTTGTGGAATAAATGTTCCAGCGACAAAGCAATCCAGTTTCCTCGGCATTTGAGTGGTGGATTCAGAGTGGATGGATTAGAAAAAAGAACAGCAGCATCTGAAAGTAACCACTATGCCAACCACATGGCCAAGCAGCAGCAGGAGGAGGCATTTCCTCAGGAGCAGCAGAAAGCACCCCCTATCGTTGGGGGCTTCAATAGCAATGGGGGAAGCAAGGTGTTAGGTCTCAAATATGAGGAGATTGACTGCCTCATAAATGATGAACACACAATTAAAGGGAGACGAGAAGGGAATGAAGTTTTTCTTCCATTCACTTGGGTAGAGAAATACTTTGATGTTTACGGAAAGGTGGTCCAGTATGATGGCTATGACCGATTTGAATTCTCTCATAGCTATTCCAAAGTCTATGCACAGAGAGCCCCTTACCACCCTGATGGTGTATTTATGTCCTTTGAAGGCTACAATGTCGAAGTCCGAGACAGAGTCAAGTGTATAAGTGGAGTTGAAGGTTGGTATCTGTTTGCTGTACTTGGGTTTTTCTAGTTTGATTGTATTAAGGACTAAGAAACTGAAGATGTTAGTTACACAGCCACTCATAGCTTAATGGGAAGGGACCTTTCATTGTTGCTCTGTCTCAGCAAGAAGAAACAGGTGAAATATAAACCTATTGAAACTTTCCAGTTGGTGTGATTTAAGGGCAGCAATAAGACCAGACTGAATAAATAGGATTATTCCATTAACCTGACTCAGAATCTCATCAGTGAGGTCAAGGCACCAATCTCCAGAATTGTGCTTCAAAACAATAAAGTTACTAGACCAGGGATATGGCTCAGTGATGCAGCATTCGCCTAATATGTGCAAGGCCTGGAGTTCAATCCCTACATGTACAAGCACACACACACACACACACACACACACACACACACACACACACACCAATAAAAACTGTACTAATACAGGGACTAGACAGGCAATGAGACCCAGGCTACTGATAAGCTTTCTAACACCCGTACTCTTTCTTCATGATGTAGTCTCCCAAAGTTAAATATTTCATTACCTAATGAAAGATCAGTTTATATATGAATAATCTTTTTAAAAATGAGTGATTACAAAGATGTACAATAATGTATAATCAGTGTAAGAATTAAAATTGATCAATAGAACAGAACACACAGCAGAAAGGCAGGAAAAAAAAGCTTCAAGTTGCAGATAACCCTAAAACATTTCTCAGACATGCAACAGTGAAGAATGTCCTCGGAATGGCTCCTCACTGTAGGTTTAGTGATTTGTTGTTTGTTTTTTATAGGTGTGCCATTATCTACACAATGGGGCCCTCAAGGCTATTTCTACCCAATCCAGATTGCACAGTATGGACTAAGTCATTACAGTAAGAATCTAACCGAGAAACCCCCTCACATAGAGGTATACGAGACAGCAGAAGAAAGGGACAGAAATGTCAGACCTACAGAATGGACCGTGCCCAAGGGCTGCTTCATGGCAAGTGTGGCTGACAAGTCTAGATCCACTAATGTTAAACAGTTTATTGCTCCAGGTGAGTTTTGTACTGTATGTGTCTTACATTTAAATTGTCTTATAGCAAATTGGTGTACCTTTAAATTTTTTAATGTTTTTTTTAAAAAACATAGCAAGCCCTTTCTTTATGTTATATACATAAAAGATGTCATCTAAGTGAAATCCCCCAAAAGTGAACAACTGAAAACGAGTGTTATGAAAACGAGTTAATTTACTGTGTGAAGAATTAAGCTATAGAGTGATGCAAAAATGTAGATAGAGTTGTTGTGTGCCTTCTGGGGTCTATATCCCCTGAAATGAAGTTCTCTGGTTTGCTTTAGTCTTTGGTACTGGAATCTGACCCAGGATTTTGTACATTCTGCCACTGCGTAGTACATACTCAATCTTCCTTGGCTTATAATGTCAGCATAGCATAGTTGAATTTTTAAGTGATTCTGCCCTAGGTTAAATTTTGTTTTAACTGCAAGAGCCATCCTTTCCTTTGTATATTTTTTTTAACTAATAGCATTTTATTTTTTTCTAAGAAATTATAGCACTACCAAATAGGCCTGCTCTCATTCTGAATTTTGTTAGTGTACTAAATTATCTGAAACTTCATTTAAAACCATTTTCATTAATAAAACCATTTATAAGATCAAATTAACCTTATGCAACATTTCCCTTTTACTGAGACAGTCTCATTAATTGGGATGTAATGTATTTTCCTGTACTAATCAATATCCATGAGAATTAATGAGTCCATTACTTAAAAAGACAGTGAAATAATCTTAGCACCTCAGGCTTAATGAAATTTTGTCAGGTTTAGAGCTCATTTCTCCTCCCTCCAACCTGGAATGGGTAAATAAAAGAGAAGAAAGAGGGTTAGACCTCCTTTGTATTGTCTCCTTCTTTATTGATGATAGACCGGGAAAGCCACATCCTTATAGGGGCTTGAGTAATGCATTTAGGAATGTTAATGCCTTGCAAAGAAAGGGTGACCTTTAGTTTTATTGAGACTAGAACATCTTTTCTCCCATGATGTTTTGTGATACTCAAGTATATAGATGGTCTTTGCTTATTATAAAACACCTCCCATGGCTAGATGAGAAGTTAGAAGAAAATGCTTAAGAATAGTTGTTTTATACCTAGGAAGTGAACATTTTGTTTTGGGTGAACCCAAGGAGTTTGGTTTTACTTTGATAGCGTTGTTTAGATGTTGGTAGAAAATTGTATCTTTCATCAGTCTGGAGTTTCTGGAGGGTTTTCTTAGAATGGTCTAACTCTGGCCTGTTGACAGCAACAGATTTCAGTTATGCTTTTAGATGCCTTGAGGAATGTAAAAAGGTAGATTCACACATCCTGCAATGAGGAATCTTCACCACTTTAGCCTGTCATTCATTTAGTGGCCAGTTGCTGGAGATAAAAACCACTTTTTTTTTTTTTTGGTGGGGGGAGGTTTCAAGCACACAGAGAACTGTTGAAAGCCATGTTGTTAGGAGGATACACCTCCTCAGAGTTGCTCCCTATTGGTAAGTATGCTAGCTAGGAGTGGCATGCACTTGTTATTCTGTATGTTCTGGGAGCTGTACTGTAAGGATGAGGGAGAGTGATTGCAGCTGCATGAGAGCAAGAGTCAAGGGAGAGCAAGAGTCAATGGTATCATTGAAACATGGCTGTGAGGCATGAGAAGTGTTTGGGAAATACAGCTTTGTGGGAAACAGTCTGGAGCATAGTTGACAAGTTGGGACTTGTTCTTAAAATCGTAGGTATGAGTAAGCTGGGGCTCTAGAGAACTGGAGATTATTTTTCTTTCTTGACCTTTTCCCCAAAGGAGTTTTTTTTTTCCTCCCAAAAAGGGAACAAAATCACTTTGAGGAGAGAATGATTTTATAAGCAGAGTATAGTAGTACACCTGTGATCCCATTGCTTAGGAAGCAGAAGCAGGAAGGTCATGAGTTCCAGAGCAGCCTGGACTACATAGTGAGACCCAGCCTTAAAAAAATCAACACACACACATGGTGGGGACCATTCTATAAGTCTGCAACATACTTTTATTTATTTGTTAAATAATGTTTATATATATAGAGAGAGAGAGAGAGAGAGAGAGAGAGAGAGAGATTTAAATAGAGTCTCAAAGTAGCTTTTGCTGGCCTCAAACTCACTATGTAGTTGAGGATGGAATTAGCTTGAACTCTTGATCTTTCTGCCTCTTTCTCGGTGCTGAAATTGCAGGCATATGCCACCATATCTGGCTGTTTTTTTTTTTTTAATTCTCAAATAGAATGATGTAGACCCTCATGATTTCAGTTAACTTTCCCAAAGCATTCTTATCCTTCCACTTTTGTGATCTCTCCTCTTCCTTTCTCTTGTTTAGCTGTTTGTCCCAGCTGCTGCTGAGTACTTCCCCTCCCCCTTTTTTCCTGCCTGACCCTCATCTCTCAGCATTCATCCAGGTTTGAGCAGAGCTGTTTTCCATTTGATGTAGTAAACCTGTTGATGAGGAATGAATAAATGGTGGTAGCTTATGCTTTATGTGAGGATACTGACTTAAAGACTGTTCTGTTTTCCCAGCTTTATGAGTGTAACTGACTAATGAATTTGTATATATTTAAGGTGTACAATATAATGCTTTGATGCAGATATATGTTGTAAATTGATTACCAGGATCAAGATAGTAGTTTACAAAGGGCTGGAATCCAGCACTCATGTCAGGTGGCTTACAATCACCTATAACTCTTCTTCCAGGGTATCTGATGCCCCTAGTCCCCTGTGGCACCTGCACTCTCATGCACCAACCCACACACAAATACATAGTTAAAAGTAATAAAAATCTTTTAAAAACATGAAAATGGAAGAGAACTTACATATCCATCACTTCATAGAAATAGTGTGTATGTTGGTAAGAGTGTAGAAAATGTCAGCTTATCTTAGTGTGTGAGACAATATCATCTCCAGTTTGTCATGTTGCATTTGAGTGTGAAAGCTTGTATTCTTTGACCTCCATCTCCCTATTTCCCCCAGCTCCCAGTTCCTAAATACATTATTCTATGTCTGTGAGTTCAGCTTTCTTACTAATTACTAGTAATGTTTAATATAATTAGAGTATAGTAGACATTCCACATTCAGTATCTGCTTTTCTAAGCATTGGCTCTCAGATAGCAGGATTTCTTCTCTTTTACAACTGGAAATTACAAACACCACCTTATCCACCTACCCATCACTGCACACAGGCTATTTCCACTAATCTTGCAGTGTACGTAGGTTATCTCTCACCCATGTATCTCTGTGATACTAATTGTATTTCCTTTGGTAAGTATGGATGCAGAAGTGGGATTCCTGGTTCACCTGAAGTTCTGGTTTTAATTGGGGGAGGGGGACCTTTATTCAAATTGCTGTAATGGCTGGACCAATTTACATTCCCTCACAAAGTGCACAAGAATCCTTTGTCTCCATATCTGAAGCTGAACTTTGTTAGTGTCTGTGCTATCCTTGATAGCCCTAATAAATGGTGGGTGGCATTTTGCTGTGGTTTTGTTTATACTTCCCTTGAGATAAGGGATGAACACCTTTGCATATACCCTGTGGCTATTTGTGACTTTGGGAAAATGTCTGTTCAGACACTTTGTGCATACTTTAATTAATTGATTTTGTTTCCTATTGAGTTCTTCATATATTGTTGGATATTAACACCTTTTCAGATCTATAGTGTGCAGTTGTTTTCTCTTGTTTTATAGTTTTTGCCTTTTCATTTTGTTAATTGCTACACTTTATAGCTTGATGTAGTCCCACTCTTCTGTTTGGTTTTGGTGGTGGTGGTGATAGTTTTTAGTACTTGTGCTTTTAGTGTCAAATCTAGAAAATAATTGGCAGCATGTTTGTCCTCCTTTGTTAATATAACACATATACCATCTATACCAAACAAAGTTTCAGTAGCTCCTGGAAATAACTTCTCAGAAAATAGGCCATGGGCTTGTGCAAATCCAAACTGTCAGGAAGTCAAATTTCTGTTAGTAGATTGGAAGGAGTCTCCAGACAGCACAGTGTTCTAAGGAGAGCTCAGAACTTCATCTGCTGAGTTTTCTATTTGCCACACCATCTCTTATGCTACCACTCTGACCCTGCAGTAGTCTGACAGATTAGGGAACTTCCCACATATTGAAATTGAAAAACTGGTTTCATATAATTGTTGGGAAGACTCCAATTGTTGACTGAGTGAGGGCTGTGACTTCTTGTCTGTCACTATATGTCTCGGGAGAACCCCCTTTATTAGTGTCAAGGGCTTACAAAAATTAGTAATTGGAGTTTTTAAGGGTTCATTCTTTACTGAATCCTTTGGACACATCTGGTATATTAAGACAGAATAAGAGGATTGGTTAAACCCTGTCACTAGTTCAGTTTGTATAAATAAGGTGAAAAATTAGACCGTAATTCTGGGAGGAAATGGATTTCTGCTTCCTTTCATCTGGACTAAGATGGGGCATTGTTAACCAGTCTGCCAAAGCATATGTAATACTTAATAATGATAAAAATAGGACTCAAGATAATGTGCTATGCTAAGTATAATCTAATCTTGTACTTCTGAATTCCACAGTGTTTCAGGTAGCTGAACTCAGCTCCAGATTTCCTTTTACTAGGAAGGAGGAAAGTACTAGTTAGTGAGAAATGCATGCTGACATTTTGACAGATAAAAAGGATTTTGCTGAACTAAGATTCTACTATTGTGGTCAATTTTTAAGCCGTCACCCAGGCATTATTTGATTCATAAGTCTGCTATGGTGTACTCATTCTTGGTACAATTTCCATAATTGTCTGCTCCATCAAATGAAGTCATTAAGAGCCCCAGGCCGTGTGTATCTGTACTGCTGGGATCCAGCGTTTAGAGGCTTGACTTCACAAGCCAGTGCTGTTCAGGCTGATCTGGTCTTTGTTCCTGTGACACTACATGCAGATCCTCTCAAGGACTGCTGAAAGCACAGATCTACTTCTGTGGCTAGGTCTGAGAGAAGGAACCTCCACTGAACATTCTTTTGAGCATATTATTTCCAGTGTCATTTGTCTTCCTCACAGTATTTGTACTTGGAACCTGAAACCTGGATCATAGTCCCTGCTAGACTAGTAGTTGCTTAACCTCACAAAACCTGTATGTCTTCATCTTTAAAGCAGAAATAATCCATGTTTTACCACCCTCAGAAGAGTGAGGACCAAATGAAAGTTGTATGTGGGTATGTTTGGAAAAATTTAAGCCATGGAAAGATTAAGATGTTCTATTGGGTGGAAGTGGTGCACACCTTTAATCCCAGCACTTGGGGGACAGAGGCAGACAGATCTGATTTTGAGGCCAGCCTGGTCTACAGAGCGAGTTAATTTATGTGGCGTGTGTGTGTGTGTGTGTGTGTGTGTGTGTGTGTGTGTGTGTGTGTGTGTGTTTTGTGGGAGAGAGAGAGAGAGAGAGAGAGAGAGAGAGAGAGAGAGAGAGAGAGAAAGAGAGAGAGAGATTATCTTTTGTTGCTAGTTGGTTTTAATATACACAGTGGGTAATTGTTAGAGCCAGCCATTGCTGTGCCCTGGCTATACAAGAGAAATTTCATATTTCATAATTTGTCAAATAAAACAGATTTTACCATTTTGTTAGTGTGTGGTAATTAGTGGGAGTAGTCACCAGCATTTATCACTGTTCTAAGCCACTGACTTCTTTAAGTTGTCAAAATTAACCTTCAAAGTGATACTGTCTCTGCCAACACTTGAAGAAACTGGGACTTGGGAAGGTCTGTTTTACTTTTTCAGAGCTGCTGGTTGAACAGGAACTGTGAAGGATTTTTAACTCCAAAGTGTACTTTCTCCTTCCCTCTCTTTACCTTATACATGAGCCCATTGTTTAATTTCCAATAATTTTGTTTATGATTCCAGAGAATATAAAAAAAAATACTTTTCAACATCAAATTAAGAACCAGACTTGACAGTGTGAGTTCTGTCCTTTGTATCTGGGAGGTTACTTGACTGTGTCTCTCGGTTGCACATCTGTAAAGTAGGAGTGAAACAGTGCACACTCATGGCTAAACAGGTATCATGTAAGGTCTGGAATATAAAACACTTAGAATATAAGGCAAGAAATACCAGCTGCATTAGAAATGAAATTTCATATATACCATTCTATCTAGAACTCTCTTGTAATAATATGCTTTGAATCAGCTTTTGGCTATTTTTCTCCCTTTTATGGAATAACTATATTAAAATAATCAGTGATTTTTTTGACCAGTTGGCATAAGGTCTAGAAAAAACAGTTTGATCAACAATTCTTAGTTATTTGTTCTGAACCATTTCTGTAAACCAGACAGAGACAATGCAAGAAACTTTCATGTCACCAGATTTTCTACTTAGCAAAAATCTGGTAACACAACACTGTTAATTTTGTATGGTCAGTAGTTATCATTGAATAAACTGCAATTAAATTTCAAGTATAAAAATACTTTATTCTAACCAGTCCTTGATCTGTTCCCCACAGAAACCAGTGAAGGTGTGTCTTTACAGCTGGGAAACACAAAAGACTTCATTATTTCATTTGACCTCAAGCTCTTAACAAATGGGAGTGTGTCTGTGGTTCTGGAGACCACAGAAAAGAATCAGCTCTTCACTGTGCATTATGTTTCAAACACCCAGCTAATTGCTTTTAAAGACAGGGACATATACTACGGCATTGGGCCCAGAACTTCGTGGAGTACAGTTACCAGAGACCTGGTCACTGACCTCAGGAAAGGAGTGGGTCTTTCCAACACAAAAGCTGTCAAGCCAACCAAAATCATGCCCAAAAAGGTGGTTAGGTTGATTGCAAAAGGGAAGGGATTCCTGGACAACATTACCATCTCAACCACAGCCCACATGGCTGCATTCTTTGCTGCTAGTGACTGGCTAGTGAGGAACCAGGATGAGAAAGGTGGCTGGCCAATTATGGTGACCCGGAAGTTAGGGGAAGGGTTTAAGTCTTTAGAACCAGGGTGGTACTCTGCTATGGCACAAGGGCAAGCCATGTCTACATTAGTCAGGGCCTATCTTCTAACAAAAGACCATATATTCCTCAATTCCGCTTTAAGGGCAACAGCCCCATACAAGTTTCTGTCAGAGCAGCATGGAGTTAAAGCCGTGTTCATGAATAAACATGACTGGTATGAAGAATATCCAACTACACCTAGCTCTTTTGTTTTAAATGGCTTTATGTATTCTTTAATTGGGCTGTATGACCTAAAAGAAACAGCAGGGGAGAAGCTTGGAAAAGAGGCGAGATCCTTGTATGAGCGTGGCATGGAATCTCTTAAAGCCATGCTGCCCTTGTATGATACTGGCTCCGGAACCATCTATGACCTTCGCCACTTCATGCTGGGCATTGCTCCTAACCTGGCCCGCTGGGACTATCACACCACCCACATCAACCAGCTGCAGCTGCTCAGTACCATCGATGAGTCTCCAATCTTCAAAGAATTTGTCAAGAGGTGGAAAAGCTACCTTAAAGGCAGCAGGGCAAAGCACAACTAGAGCTCAAAACCAAAAGCGCATTCCAGCCCCTTCTGAACTCAAGGGCTGAGCTCTGTGTCAGTGGCAGAACTCAGCAGCACATTGCACATTTAAGATGGTGTGTGTCTGGGGTTTGTGGGTCACAGCAATGTGAGAAGAGACCCTTAAAGTTAGTCTTTCTGAAATGATTGCATTCCATGGGTCAGGTGCTTAGAAATGTAGGCCCTGAAAGCGTTTAGTCAGTGCGCTGAACAAAGATGTGATCTCAGCCCTGATCATCACTTAGGCCTCCATGCAGAGTCATTCTCAGTCTGTGAAAGATAATGGTAAGTGGCTGCTGCTAGCCTGCTGCTCAGCACTTACCTAAAACTTAGTGTGGAGTGCTTTTAAAATGTGATTATTTATATTTATGCTGAAAGCAGGCTTTTAGAAAACAGTGTGCTGTACTGCAGTAAACATGTGCGTATAGCCTGGATTGTGGACTGTGTTTTTTCAGTGTTTCTTTCCTGTAGGTTCATTTCTTGGGAAGGAGTGAGCATTTGTTGCATTTGTTCAATTATATATGGAAAATGTTTTGAATTATGGTTTTCTTGAACTATGTATATTTAAACACAGCCTGTGTTCAGGTCTCATGGTCAAATAACATAAGCACAACTAAAATGAAACTTGTTGACTGCACAAGAAATTACAGACATGCTATGTTTTATGAAACTTGATCTACAATCAGTAGAAGTCTGATAATCATCTTCCCCACCTCTGTCCCCAATGCAATGTGTCTTTGTCACTGTCTAGAATGTTGCATTTCATTTCATATTACACTTTGGTGGTTTTGTCCATTTTGAGGACAGTACCCAGAGTGTTAATTATAAGCCTAAATTTGTGACAGATGTAATGATTTGAAGCCTACCATCATCCCTTTTAGGACTTTTTTCCCCTTAAAGGAAAATTACTGGGTTAAATGGTATGTTAGGAGTCACGGTAAAGTTTTTCCTGCCTGGATTGTCATCATCACTTTTACATCATTGCTTCTGTCCTCACTGTTTCTCTGAAACTGAATTTTGAATGATTCCAGCATTGAAACAGAAGAGATACTACTGTGTCTACTGTCCGTGTGCCATCGGATCTGTAAGGGTTTCAGAGTTCTCATGCCATGGACAGTGTCTGTTATAGGGCTTCAGGCATTACGTAAAAGCAACAAGGATTGGTTTTGCCCTGGTTTTTGTTTATGGTGTGATAATATGGAGATAGTTAGGTAACATGAGTCTCACACTTCCTAGGGACAAACAATGAAGTTTATCCAGCTATCTGTCTGATTCATGTTTAAGAGCCAGGTGAATGGTTTGCCCACACATTGTACTTCTGTTGAATTCAGCTACCAAGTACTGTTGAAACAGGAAATATAAATATATATGTGTGTGTCTGTGTGTGTGTATGTATGTGTATATATATATATATATATATATATATATATATATGATGCATAGACACACATGTAAATGATATATAAAGTATATGGGCATCACAGGAGACAGGAAGATCTGTACTGAAGATAAAGACAATATTATACTGTTGAAAAATAAGTATAAACTCCCAGTTTATGTGACCACACTTTAAATGACCACACCTTGATTTTGCCTACAGCGAAATCAGTATGGTCTTTAGGTTCCCTAGATTTTACCATTGTGGTTCTCACACAAGAGGTGTTTCAGCAAGTTCTGAACATGCACATTTGTCTCAGCAATAAAAATGAGGACTCCCTTTTTATTTTCAGTACTGATGTTCAAAACAAGCTTCCCCACATGGGAGCATTGTTCACTCTATCAGATTTGTTATTAGAGTGGTCCCGACTTTGCTTTATGTTTGCATACTGGTCTTCAGATGAGAGGGGACAGTGAAATCATCATGGTACTGCTTTTGTGACAAACACCAGTGCCTTACCAATGTGGTTGTCCTTTTCAACTGAAGAGGGAAAGTTTGTTTTGTTTTGTTTTTGATGTAGAAATGGCAGTTTGCTGCTGTTGCTTTTCCACTGCCTTCCACATTGCAACAGCTACTTGACTTGTCTTGTGATCCCAGAATTCCCTAAGAGGTCACATTGAGCCTGTGACAGCACTGTCAGTGCTTGGCTTCTCAGACTTGAGGATGCCTCTGTCACCTGGGAGTTTACAAAATGAGACTCTAGGTGTGCAGGAAGTCTGCCTGCAAAGTGGGATCTGCAGCATGTTTAACAGGTGGGGTGATGCTGCTTTGGGAGAGCTGGGCTTGTGTAGAGAGCACTGCCTGGGACCCATGCATTTTTGCCTCCAGAAAATCTACAAAGTTTCCTCGGTTTTTAAAACATGTAAATGTTTACTTATCCTGAGTATAGCGAGAAGGGGAGGGTATTTTAAGTTTTTGTTGTATTTCTTTAAACTTTTCTTTAAAAATACTGGTTTGATTCACTTATCTGAGTTAGCTTCCATGTTGAATCTGTTGCCATTTTAGTAGTAAAACCAGCCAAAAGTTTCTAGACAAAGGGCAGGTTTGACCCTTTAAGAGTTACTGTATATAATGGCTTCATTCAAGAGCCACGCAGCGTCCATGAGCAAGTGCAGAAACGACACAAGCACACTCTCCAGATGCCGCGGGACTCTTTCCTTTTTGGTGTACAGACTCTCACCAAAAGCTGCTGTTTTCTTTCTTGTAATTGTTTCCTCGCTTCTCCTCCATTGTACATGTGGGGTATATGCCATGTGTCAAATATGCAATAACGTGTTTACCGGATGCCCTTCTGAAGGGTGGTCCTCTGTAAAGCTGTACAGACTTTGCAGTCCAAGCACAATGTGCACATGTTAGTTTTATATACAGCGAAACTTGATTTTTTCAAATGGAAAGGTATTTTGTTTCTATACAAAGTTTAATGGGTTGTTTGTGCTTAATGTAAAACTGCTTTATAAAACTGTAAAATAAAGTTTTTATCATGAAAAGAAATACACTTGGGTATTTCTCTTCTTTTTCTGTTTAGTTTGTGATTGTGTGAGGCCAGCAAACATTTGACCAACATTTCCTGTTGAACCTGCAGACAGGGAACCAGAGTGTAGCACAGGAGCCTTAGTCTGTAGAACCAGAGTACACAGGACAGGTTCAGAAAATAAAGTACTGCACTGTGCTCAATCAGGGACTGAAGCTCAAGCTGGTGCTCTGGTTTTAATCACAGCAGAAAGTTCCATGCTTCCTGTCATCTTTCTGTACTCATAGCTTTAGAATGATCAGCATCACCTCATATTCTCTCCTCAGTAAGATTTTAGGTTGCCAAATATGAATCCAGCCTTTACCTGGAATTCCAGTTGATCACCAGCCAGCTGTTAGATTCCAGTGGCCATATAGGTCTTAGCACAAGGCTGTTCTCCTAGTTGGACCCTTGTCTTCCACCTTCCTTTGACAAACAGCTATGTAGTCAGAAGCAGTCTTGGACCAGCGTGGATCATGGACTACTCTTGCTTTGATTTTGCAGTTTGTGACAAAATTATGGTTTGGCTGTGAAACTTGAGGGGCAGGTCCTCCATACCACAGAGGACTTCATACCTGATGAGCTCTTCTTCTCTGCCTGTTCTCTGGACGGCCCTGACAACTGCTTGGACTTTTTGATGAGCTCTTCTTCTCTGCCTGTTCTCTGGACGGCCCTGACAACTGCTAGGCCAGTCAGTCTCCCAGCAAGAATCCAAAATTGAGTTAGATTTTTAAAACTGAAGTAAAGTGAGAAAAGCAAAGCGGGGGAGGGGCTGCAGAATTTTGGTAGAGGTTCAAGCCCTGGATCCAGTGCATTTCAGAGGGCAGTGGAACTCCACTCAGGTTCCATAGAGTACACGTGTATCCTTAGGATATTCACTGTGTGCTGCTGTTGACTGGATTCGTGGCTCACACGACTGTTTCTGTGGCTCGCAACAGTTGAGCGCTGATAAATAATAGTGTCTCCATTGTTGAGGAAATGGTCTGCAGATGATACATTTCCTCATCCATTAGGGCTGCTGCAACAAAACACCATAGGCTAGGGTAGCTTAAACAGAGATTGATATGTCTCAATTCCAGAAATGGGAAATCTAAAATCAAGTTGTAGATAGGATTGGTTTCCTTTGAGGATGCTTTTCCTTGCTGTCTTCTCCCCATGTCCTCACATGATTGTCCCTCCAGCTGTTGTCTGAGTCCTGATCTCATAAGGACACGGTCACACTGAGTTAAAGACTATTAGCCTTGTTTTTATATGTACCATTTTGGTGGGTTTATTTTTTGTTTTTGTTTTTGTTTTTTCTTTTTCAAGACAGGGTTTCTCTGTATAGCCCTGCCTATCCTGGAACTCACTTTGTAGACCAGGCTGACCTCGGAACTCAAAGAGATCCACCTGCCTCCGTCTCCCAAGTGCTGGGATTAAAGGCATGTGCCACCACTGCCCAATTTATGTATCACCTTTTTTAAAGGCATGATCTCTACATAGAGTCATGTTCTGATATATTGAGGCTTAAGACTTGAGCATGCCAATTTGGGGGCAAGGTGTCACAATTCAGCCTATTATCATTCTTCACACAGAGCACACAGGAACAATCATTTGATAACCAATGAGGGTCCCAACTCAGGTGTTTAGGAAACATGAATGGGGCGGAGATTCCTACTTAGGACTCAGGCAACAAAGCTGCCTGGCTCACAACTGTGTCAGGAACTTGGTCTTTGATGCCATAAGTTTTAATTCCTTCATAGTACTATCCAGAAAAGGGGATTTTTTTGTTTTGATATTTTTTGGAAATTGGCAAAGCAAACACTAACATGATGTTTTAAAAATGTACCATCAGGGACTGGATAGTTGGCTTAGTGGTCAAGAGTACATACTGCTCTTGCAGAGGATTGCTGATTTCAGTTCTCAGCACCCAACTCAGGTGGCTCACAGCCTCCTGTAACTCTAGCTCTGGGGGAGCTGATGTCCTCTTTAAAGGCATTGCACTTACACATACTTATATGTGCTTGGACACACACATGTGCACATAATTAAAAATAAACATCTTGTACTGGAGAGAAAACAGTTAAGAGCACTTCTTGTTCTTGCTGAGGACCCAAGTTTGATTCCCAGCACCCACTTGATGGCTCACAAATACCCATAACTCCAGTTCTAGGGGATATAATACATCCAAGTGATGCACTCACATGGATATGGGTAAAACATATATAATAGAACAACTTAGATAAACATCTTTTTATGGAGAATTTTAGGGCTGGAAAGATGGCTAGGTGGTTTAGAGTGAATGCTACTCTTTCAGAACAATACCCAACACCCGTGTCATGCAGCTCACTACTGCATGTGACTTCAGCTCAAGAGGATCCAACACCTCTGGTCTCCAAGGGCATACACATACATAGGGCACACACACACATCCCGCACACACACACACACACACACACACACACACACACACCTTTTTAAAAGAATTTTTTAAAGTATGCTAACAAACTACATTTTTATTTTGAATACAGAATTCAGAGATACCCCTACAGCCATAGAGGGGTTGGAGAAATGGCTCATTCAGCAAAGTACTTGCAATGCAAATATGAAGACTAAATTCACATCCTAGCATACATGTAATAAGCTGGACACAGAGTCACCTGTCTGTTCTCCCAGCATTGGGGAGGTAGAGACATGAGGATCCCTGGGCTCCCTGGCCAGTCAGTGTAGCCAGTCATCCAGCTCCAAGTTCAGTGAAAGACCCTGTCTATAAAACTAGAGTTGGAAGTTATTGAAGAAGAACACCAATGTCTGGCTTTCACACACCTGTGGGTGCATGTATGTACATACACACACACAGACACACATGGACACACATATACATGCATGCACACATGACAGATAAGTACTTGAAAATCCCAGTGAGATCATTTTTTTCTTTAACATACTGTGCAAATGCATTATTTAACAGTTGTAGGTCACCCCCTGAACCAAGTAATGAATATCCAGGACCCAGCAGCAAACTTCCGAGCCTCTTTCTGACCCCAGCAGGGTGAACACATCAGCCTCTCAAACAGGGCCTTTCATGTAGCTGGTGTCATGGATAACCTCCACACACACCTGTGTACATTGTCCCTGTGAACCAGTCCTGCCTGGCACTGTGGTAACTCTGACCACCATGGACTTGTGTCCATGATGACAGTGAGCTGGCAGAGAGCATTTTTTTTTCCTGATGGCAAGGCTTTGTGGGTTTATGTTGTTGTTTGTTTATTTAACAGCTTTTGGACATGGCCTTACTATATAGCCCTGACTGGCTTGGAACGCAGTATGCAGACCAGGCAGGCCTTGAACTCACAGACATCCACCTTCCTCTGCTGAATGGTGAGATAAAAGGAGCATGCCACCACATCTTGCTTTAATAACAATTTTTAATCCCAAGTTCTCATTTTTATAAACTGTTTAGAAGAGTCAACAATCTAGGGATAAAACACTGATTTCCATTTTACCAGCCCATTAAGGATGTCAGGTTAAAATGGATGTGAATTTAAATGTTGTGTTGGTGATGAATTTGAATGTTTGCTGCTCCGTTTCTGGTGAAAAGAAATACATTTACCATCTGGAGCAAGTGATTGATCGCTCCCATATGTAAACTGCACTTCCTGAATTCTAAAGAGCAGCCACTCAAAAGTTGCTAATCCTCCTCCAGGAGTGGAAGGATTTTACAAAATGGTAAGACTGCAAAAAGTCATCAAGAAGGAGTAACAGGAAAAGGGCAGAGAAAAAGACCGTGAGGAATGAGAAATGGCAGCCTCTACAGGCTAGGTAGAGTACTGTTAGGCAACCCGGAGCTTATGAGCCTCCAGTCAGGAGGACCTGGTGCCTGCCTGGGATTTTGCTCTGTGATAAAACTGAAGAAGGGCGACTTTAAGCAGTGGGTCTCAACCCCTTTGGTGGGGGGGTCACATCATATTTACATTATGATTCATAACAGTAGCAAAATTACATTTATGAAGTAGCCACAAAATACTTTTATGGCTGGGGGCCACCACAACATGAGGAACTGTATTAAAAGGTCACAACAGTAGAAAGGCCAAGAACCACCGAGCTAGAGTGATGGCTCAGCTGGTAAAGGCTTGCTGTGAAAGCAAGAAAATCTGAGTTCAAATCCCAGTCAGCTAGGTGCAGTGTTGCATGCCTACCTGCTGGGGAGGCAGAGACCATAGGTGGTTCCTGGGAGCTCATTGGCTAGTCAGCCTAGCCAAATTTGTGAGCACAGAGTTCAGTGAGAGACCCTGTCTCTAAGAGAGAGACAGAGACAGAGAGACAGAGACACAAAGATGAGACCAGAGGTCAACCTCCAACCTCCACACACACACACACACACACACCACAGGGCACCCCCCAACCCCCCCACACACACACACACACACACACACACACACACACACACACACACACAAATGGCTATTTCTAGTGTCTAGAAAGCCTGGTATCCACTGCTTTGGGGTCTATAGAGGACAGTAACTCCCCCGGGTGAGGTGGAGCCGAATCTAAGTCTTGCCTATAAGCCAATACGTAGCAAACTGCATGATTTGAATTTGATGTCTGATATCATTTTTAGCATCTGGCAAGATGAATTCTCTGGAATTCAGTTGACTACAATGGGAAACCCCAAATTCCCACAACCTGTCAAGATGAACTGGAGGAGGCCTCTTACCTCCATAGCTCCTGCAGGGGGCACTATCTCCATGGGATTGTGACAGACTAGTATGCACATTTTCTGCTCAGCTCCCATCCCCAAGGAGGGGGAAAGTATATTAAAAAAAAACAAATTACAAATCCAAGCTAGAGTTGGAATTAAGGCACTTCCAGAGCACCTTCCTGCTGATTTCTTTCTAGAGTTCTTATATTGTACTTTGTCCCTGGAGCACTCTAGATGGAGAGACAGAAGCCACACAGAGCCATACTATCACAGAGAAGGGCCGGAATCTGGGGCTTTGGG